GCAGCATGTTATTTAACTGACTAAGGTAGAAACTGTGCAAAATCAGCATGAATGTACGGTAACCACTTTTTGAGGTTGTTGGGAGCAATGGTAGTTACAGTGTCTTAAAGGCTGCTGGAAGTAAGGATCTGTGATAACGCTCCCTGGTGCATTTAGGGTGCAACAGTCTGTCACTGAAGGAGCTCTCCAGTTCTGCAACAGCTTCATGCATGGGGTGGGAAACATTATCCAACAGAAATGTTAATTTAGTTAGGATCCTTTTGTTTCCCACCTCTTGCACTGAGTCCAGAGGGCATCCATCACAGAGCTGGCCTTCCAGATCAGCTTCTCCAGCCGCTTTCTCTTATATTCTCCATATTTAAAATTGTAGTTTTACAGTGAATCTTTTGGATTCAACCACAAACCTGAATGTTATTTTTCAGATTTTTTCTCATTTTACAATAGAGGTGAAACATTTTTTTTTACACATACATGTAAAGAGTGTGGTCTGGATCTGTTTTACACATCTTCCTTCAGTGGCAGAAGTCTCTAAATGGTGAACAGACTCCACCTGTGAGTAATTTAATCTCAATATAAGTTCTCAGTTCTACAAAAGTCCCCAAGCTGCTAGAGAATATTAATGAACAAACAACGTGATGACCGTAAAACACACAAACAGGTCAGAAATAACCTATTTTGGCCACAGCTTAAATCCCTTTAGGTAACGTTTTTGCATGTATTATTTGCAGTCTTTACTTGCTCCATGTGTTTTTACATCCATGCTGCCGTTCACAGAGCTTTGTACCATGTTTTCCTTTAATGGTCTGTTGTCTTTTATTTCTATACCCTTTTCATATGATCTAAGTGTGCCAATTTTGCACTGAAAAACTTCTTTTATAGAAAAATGTTTAGTCTATTATCCTAAAATAGAAAGAGTACATCCTTTTAGGACAAAGTTTTCCATCTAAACCAGGGTTCAACAGTAACAGTTCTTGAGGTGTCCTGCACCTTTTATATGTATACCTTTTAGTCCATTCTCATTCTTATTATATTTGGTTTGGTTTCTTTCCTACATTTGCCCCCAATATCCCTCTGTTTATTGTTCTCCCCCTTCCCCAGTCTTAGGCTTGATTCTCTTCAGTTGTTGTTAGTTCTCACCTCATTCCTTTAACCTGTTTACCCAGGCTTTTCCTTCTTCCAGTATTTAAGCAGTGGTCTATTCACTGCAGCATCATATTGCCATGTTTTTCCCTTGCATGTGGTTAGTGTTAGTATAATCTTTTTACTTGCAGAGCACTTTTTGTCTGATGCACATTCATGTATTTGCAATGTGTCTGCACATTGCCTCTATTTTCTGCGATTGCAGCATTTCTCTTTTGAAGGGTTTTTCCTTCACACATGTCTTGTGTGCATTTCTGTAGTCCCCATTATGGTGGTATTTGGCACGTTTACAGCTCTCTGCAACCATATACTGTGCCTTATTGGTGCACAAACGCAAAAAGAGGTTTTTATTTTTTACTTTGAAACTTCATCTTTAGTTACCTTGCAAGCAAGTTGTGAATTTACAAACTCATGAAAATACATCTTGGCAGGAGCCAGCAGAAGGCTTAGCCTCGATACAGAAATGTTTTGGATCAGTGAAATGCAGTATGGCATCAATCAGAGACGGAAGGCTGAAGCAAAACAAACATGCATGTGCTCTCATTAGCTGGATCACCCTCTATTTCTTTTTGAAAAAACGATCAAAGAGACATGATTTACAAGTGAACTCCTCTAGACATGAAACAAAAAAAGCTGCTACTGCTGCTGGGATTGGCTAAGAACTCAACATTGGAGGCAGATACCCAATAAGCTTGTAGAATTGTACTTATTGTCCCTCCCCTTTGCAAACACTTTCAACGTGTGGCTTTCCGGTTGAATACATTTAGTTAAGTTTCAGACTGGCTTATGCCAGTTTACAGCTTTGGGCCTCCACATCTGGAAGAGGCACACTATGAGGGTTTCCCACATTATACTGTAGGCTACAAGCTAGCACAGTGCAACGTTTCCTTCTGTGGGGTGTACAGCATGACACCAGCACCATTAGCTTGACCTATCCTATGGTGCTTAAGTGAAGGGAACTTGCATAGCCATGCAGCCCTTTGTATCATATCTATTGCTCTGTCTGAGGCTCAGGCAGTGAAGGAAGCAGCCAGGTATTCAGTGGGTAGCTTTGATCAAATAGAGATAATCATTCAAAGCAAATGTAAATATCTCCCATATTTCTATCAGTAGAAATGGCACCAGGCAGTCTCAGAAACAAGGTCATCAGATTCAGGGAATCAAAAAAACAAAACGTATCTAGAAGCCAGCCATCACAAACAGCCCCCTGCTAGAAGTCTGTTTCTGACATCACTATTCAGCATTATAAAGGAATCATGTAATAAACCAAACTGATATGCCACTATATATGTTAGGCACATATGAGATGCACATGTATTTAATGGAGCACCTTGCTATCACAATTTACAGACAGTGCCTTTATATACCGGTAAGTCAGAATCTCCATTCCAATGTGGAAATAGGCTTAGGGCTGGGAACTGCAATTCAGTTTTTACTTCAACAGGCCTGTAGGGAACTTTCTTGTCTGATAGCATATGCCAACACAAACCGCTGGCAGTGCACTAAAACAGGGATGACTGTGACATAGCTGACCTGTCAGCCAGCTCCCTCTGACGTGCTCCTATTGGAGAAATGTAATTGTAGTGGAATACTTGAACTGGATCCTCCAGGGAACCCTCTGACATGCAGATGCTAGATACCTATGGACATATGCCACTGTCTCCGCCTTTTTCACCTTATTACAATACAATGATCCTACACAGCTATGTTTTCCATTGAGAGTTAAGCCTCTTAGATTACTTATATTTATATCCCTTTAGGTGAAAACAATTGAAATAAGTCATATTTCAATTAATTTGGTCAGACTTTAATAATCTCTAGTTAGTTATTGTCAATTGCAATAGTTTGTGTCTCAGCCTCTCATTTTCATTGGAGGTTAAAACTTTACATGTAGGCTATTTGTGTGAAACTAGATCTAAAATATACACAGATATTCTTGCACAAATATTTTTTGTACCTTTTTATGCTTCATCCAGAGTTGTGCATGCCACATTGCACAGCAAGGATTGGTAAATTAGGTTGTGCTTGAACACACCTGATGTTAACTGATTAACACCTGAATTAAAATATGTCAGGTGTACAGAGGGAGGGAAAAACCTAACAAAAAAGTCAGATAGTAAGTACTGAAGACCAGCATTGAAGCCACTGCAGTGGATTATAGTCAGGGTGGAGATCATTGATCAACTCTTTTTATCTTCTGTTTATTTAGAATACAATGTACTCAATAAAAGCTGGATAGTCTAATTACTCTTTTTCACGATTTATGAGATTGTTGAAAACAAGCCAAATATTTTTTGCAATCTAAAGACACAGAAGTCACAAGTAACTTTATTCTTTTAGTGAAACAAATAAAATAAACTTTTATTCTTTTCAAATAAATATCTATATGCTTTTGTCTAATATTATTAAAGTGCATCCCCTAAAAGCAGAGGTGTCAAGTAACGGAGTACAAATACTTCGTTATTGCACTTAAGTACACTTTTTAGGTATCTATTCCTTATTTATTTTTTCTTCCTACTTCTGACTTCTACTAATTACATTTTCACACAAGTATCTGTACTTTCTATTCCTTACATTTTTAAAACAAACACTCATCGGTTAGCTATTCGT